TGACTGCATGTTCCCGTAGTCCTCGCTTAATGTTTCTGAACGGTTGGTCATGAGTTGCTGTCCATACCCACTCGGCCCCACTGGTTAGGTCGGTGAGGGGTCCTGCTAAAGTGGCCTGATGTGGCAGGAATTGTGCCACATAGTTGAGTAATCCCAAAAATTGATGTAACTCCTTTTTACTTGTTGGTGTGGTCCAGTGTTCCAGGGCGTGTGTTTTTTCAGGGGCTGCATGGATGCCGTCGTCGTCAATCATATGTCCCAATATGTCTAGTTCACTGGCAAATAGGTCTGATTTCTTTTTGCTCGCGTAGTACTGTGCCTGGCGTAGTTTCTTACAAACTTGCCGTAGGTGGGTCATATGTTCTTCTGCCATGTCTGAGAATACTAGGATGTCGTAGATGTACACCCATACAAATTCATGTAGATATTCTCCTAATACGTCTTCCATTATACGCATGAATGGGGCGGGTGCGTTTTTGTCTCCTTGTAGCATTACTCGGCTAACCAAGGTTCCGACTATCGATTTGAAGGAGTTATTTTTCTCCTCCTCGGGTTCCACTCTCGTTTGGAAATACGCGTCGCGGAGATCTATCTTACTCCGGTATTTTTTGCTTCCTACTGTATTGAGGATGTCTTGCTGCTGAGGTATCGCGGGTGTGTCTTTTATGACTTGATCATTACGGCGTTTGAGGTCAACAAGGGGTCTGATTCCCTGCTAGTCCTTTTTGGGTTGTACGAACCTAGGGGCTGCTCCTGTCACCGCTTCACGGTAAATAACTCCTTGTTTTAACTTCACTTGGGTCCACTCGTGTAATTTGGATTTATATGCTTCAGGTATCGAGTAGGTAGGTTCGTCTTTGGTTGGTGATCCAGGGATTAGTTGTACACGATGGTTGATTTTTCGCAACGGCGGCAATCCTTCCGGTATCTCATCTGGGAAGACGTCAGCAAATTCTTCCATTATTGTTTGTCCTGTTTCTGTTACTGCTGTTCGGTGTTCTCCACTGGTCGGTTGGCAGGATACCTTTACCTTCTGGTTCGGGAAGGTGATCGTAATGTCGCCACACCCAATGCTTGCCTTGTGACGAGTCATAAATGGCATCTCGAGGAGTGCATCGTATTTTGCTATATTTCCGATAAGCATGGGGTTGTTTGGGAAGTTTGCTTTTCCAATCTTCACCCTAGGCGTTGTTTGGGTGTTGCTAGTTGATCGTGATCCTTTCATTGCCATGTTGAGTGTTATTGGGTGCCTTGTAGGTTGGGTTTTCATGCCGTGCGTGGCTACAAATGTCTTACTGAGGATGTCGGAACCTATCGTTCTGGTGTCAAACAGGACCCTTGCTGGGTATCCGTTAATATTCACTGTTCCTTCCCGCGATTGGAAGGGGTGTATCCTTGTATTTGGTGCGGTGGTTTTATAACAGTCGATTGTTGCCGTTACCGAGTTGATGTTTACTTCTTCGAGAAAGTCCTCCAGCTCTTCTTCCTCAAGGAGGTTGGTAGTGGCTTCCTTTTTTATAGGCTTGCCTTTTAATTTCCGTTTCTAGCAATCTTTTGCGTAGTGCCCCTTTTATCCGCCTTCGAAGCATTCATTATTTTCCTTTCGCTGTCGCTGTCGCTGGTTGCTCTGTGCGCTTGTTCTTCCTTGTTTCTTCTTTCTTTCAGTCGGGCTGTACTGGTGCCCTTTTCTTTCTTTAGTCTCATGTGTCCTGTACGTGTTTGTATCCCATAGGATCGCATCATGTTTTTCTGCTCTCGCGATTATTGAGTGGATATCGTCGCTCGGTGTCTCGTGTGGTTCAACCACTTGGCGCAGTTTGTTGTGCATGCTTTCGTAGAATCGTTTCTTAAGCGTGTATGTTGATATCGTCCCAGCTGGTAACCGGCTATGGTACATTAGAAGCGTGGTTGCAGTTTTAGTTATTTTGTCCATCCTTCCCCCGTGGGTTTGTTGGATAGCATTGAATTTGTCAAATATTTCGTCTTTGTTGCGGGATGATTGGAATCGTGCCCTTAGCAAGTTGGCAACTGTTATTGCAGGTACTTTATCTGGCTGGCGGTATTCCGTGATACATTGTTGGTAGGCTTCTGTTGCATCATCTATACAAAAGGCGCCAAGGTATATTCCTGGGCCGTAATCCTGGAAATCGATTCCGTGTGCTGTCAGGTACTGTCGTACTGTCACGAGCCATCGTTCAAATGCCTCTGGTCTTAGGTCCTCTCCCTTCCCAGAGAACGTCTTGGGCTGTGGGAGCTTTATTTTTGGCTTTGGTCTAGGCGGGTCCCCTTGTGGGACTGGTGGGACTGGTGGGTCCGGAGGTGCTGGTGTACCTAGTCCAGACATATTTCGGTGGTCCGAAGAGCTCCTGCTGCTTACTGGAGGTGGTGCTGGTTTTCGTTCCTTTTCTGGTGATTCCGGGAATTCTCTGGGTGTGCTGCCTGTATCTGGTTTCTTCCCTTTCTTCTGGGTCAGGCCTTCTCGTGGGATCTCACACCCACTCCGAGTCGTAAGTGGATCTATATCGCACTTATATTATCGAAGGAGCTGGCCGTCGTGGCCTGCCGCTTCTGCTGGTACCGTTGCTGAATCTTCGTGGGTTGATCAGGCCCTGATTCGTCATATCGTAACCCCTCGTCAAGGTTAAAAAAATGTAACGTGTTCACGCTGGGGCGCTAATCATGCTGTCGGGTACAATAGGAGAGCGGTGACGTCTACCGGAGACTGACAACTCAAGGCTTGCTAAGGGAGGATTCGGTGGTGTAATAGGAGAATAAAGATAACCGTTCAACCGAGTATATTAAAATACTGTCTGTCGAAGTCTGCCGTTTCCAGAGTGGAAGATGGCGGTCTTTTTAAGTACATGTGTTTGAGTGCGATCATGAATTCTCACTCATGTTCTTACTCAATCACAGCATAAAAATAACCAAGTATCAACCGATACTTAAAACAAAACATACAACAAACTAAGTATCAACCGATACTTAAAACAAAACATAAAACAAACTAAGTATCAACCGATACTTAAAACAAAACATAAAACAAACTAAATTAACCGAGTACCAGCTCCGGTTACACACCCATGCCAATAATCATTATTTGGCTAATGGGTCTTATATTCCATCTTTGTCTCGAAAGGCTGGCAAAGTCTCCATGTTATTCTGATTGTCCTTTAGGCTGGGGACGAACTCTGAAACTTTTCCTGTGGTGATTAGCTGCAGTATCCTGGCATTGTTGTCCAAGATTCTTCAATTCAGCAGTGTTTATTTTTTGTTTTTACAGTTGGTGGAGTGCCTAAATGGTGAGGTTGAACAAACTTACTTCTCTCTCATGGGGCAAACCTACTCCTTTTATACTAAGTCTTAGCTGTGCCAAGCTTAAACTTGCACCAAGCTTAATCTTGTGCCAAGCCTTTGTATTATTATTGTGCCAAGCTTTCTATCCTCATGTAGAGGAGTGGAAGCCGAGATTTTTACAAATTCATGTTTTTCCACCTTCCACCACAGCCCTGCCGTTCTTTCTCCCTTTCCCAAACTGTTCCTGCATCTGCATGTGTACCTAATCTATGCACGCACAAATGTAGACATATAAAAAAAGCACACAAGATAGAATAATGCACAGACCAGCGCTTAATTTGACCAACCCATTTGTTACCGTCAGAGGATTCTATTCCGCTGAAAACCCCTAACCCGGCGACTGAAACCACCAACTGCTCATGATAAATTCGAAATCAGCACTGCTTTACCACTCTATCTTTCCCAGTCCCCTTTGCAACCGGCAAACCTTCCCACCCGAACATCGCGAGAGATGTCCAGTGGTGGGCGCGGCGGTTTCTCCAGCGGTGGTAAATGTGGCGCAGGAGTAGGAGGAGGCATGGGCGGTCCGTTCGGCCACGACCCGGATAATCCACAGGACTACAGTACTACCAAGCTGTTTCCCGTATCTCCCCCCTCTATACCTACCTCTACAGCACATGTAATGGCCAACTGACTGAACCAAAACAGCCACGACCACCACCGTTCCGAACCCCTTGAGCAAGCAGGGATGCTACATACAAGTGCGCTACCGTCTGTATCGCGGCGGAATCTATAATGGCTAGCTGTGCGCGGTCGTGGGCGGGGGGCGTGGCGTGGATGACCCGTTCAACGACGTGAGCAAGTACTCAGCAAAATATAATTTGCCGAAGAGCAGGGTGGCGAAGTTGGATCCTTGGCTGTACGTTAAGGAGTTCTTCCCCGAGGAGCTGGAGAACACATTGGGGATAGATTGTGATGGCGATGCGGAGGATGGTAGAGGCAAAGAGAAGGGGAAGGCGAAAAAGCTAATTTTTTTTTGCCGCGCGATGTTTTTGGTCGGTTGGATGAGGAGGATAATGCTGATGGGGGGGGCGAGGCTGGAGAGGCTGGTGGGAACGAGAAGAAGGGGGTCCTGTAAAAGTTGCAGGACGAGGATGTTGGTGACGATGATGGCGAGGATGACGATGAGGTAGCAGAGGTAGAAGAGGAGGCTAAGGATGATTCTGGCGATGACGAGGAGGGGGACTATAATGCTGAGATGTACTTGAATGATGGGGAGGATGATGGTGGGGATGATTGGGGGGACGAAGGGGGTGGTGAGGACTATCACTGGGCAGATGAACCGTGCAACTACGAAAAGTGTCTTGGATTTCTCTGTTCTATTGATATCTATTTCAACCACTCATTCTGAATTTTTTTCCTTTTTCTTTCTTTTCGGAATTTCTTGTCTTTTTTTTAATTCCCCCCAGATCTCGGGGAAAACGGCACCTCGTGATGCTTTGAGCCACTCAGACTAAGGAAGGGAAGGGAAACCAAAATCCAAGTTTTGCCTATATTTGGGCCGGGTTCTCTAGCAGGCCCCCACGCCGCCCGCTGATGGGATTCCCAAACTCCAGGTGTCACCTCATCAAGTGTGTATTCGCCGCAAGCTCTCCCTCATCACTGGCCTCCTTCAGTAGGTGTTCTGCGTTATGGTTGTTCGTCACTCTGTTAGCACTTTGATCTGGATTAGATTTCCAATCGATCCCCTTGTCATCTTCCCTCCTAACCCATGGTTTCCCCACTGCCGCCTCCTTGTATAAAAGCTCCCTCATTGACCTCCCACCATCGCGAAACCTAATAATGTTCAAGGCTCTTTTGAACTCTGCTCGAACCCTGTCTATTCCGGTGGGGTTGCAGATCCCGGCCACGCCGTAGTTGATTTCGAATGGGTCGTCGATGGCAAACAAGTATCTGTCTTTTATCTGAGTATGCCCGCTCCTCCCCGGCCTAGCAACAGCCGTAACCCACCCCTTACCTTACTTACTAAATATGCCGCCTTGAGTCCGGATGAAGATGACCTCTCTTCCCCATTGAAACCTATGTGAATAGTATTCGAAGAAGCTATTTAGGATCTGGCTGACATACATTTGGTTCGTGGTCTTGCGAAGAATTTCGATATCTTTAGCATACCAAACATGATGCTCTCCTTCGCCACCCTCACCAAATATCTGGTCAGGCGGTGCGTCTTCGGGGATCGTGGGGTTCCGAGGATTGATCAAAACAGGGGTGTCAACCACTTTGATCACAAACGGGGTAATGATGAGAACGTAGCCGTAGGAAGAAAGGGTACCACGGTATGGGCTATTGATATATCTTCTCTTGGCCAACCACGGGCATGTGATAGTGTCAAGCTCACAAAATTCTCAGCTGCCAAGGGGATTGCGAGGTTGGAATTATGGTGCAAGCGTAAATACCTTTATAAAAAGAACCATTTCCTTGACTTGTGGATCGCATCGACTATGTGTTTGCGGCGTCCTAATATTATGCACTCTCAGGTCCTGATTAAACCCCATGTCGCAACTCAAGTCAAATGAGTTCTAATCTGTAGCCTTCAGTCCTAGCTTCATTATAGGTACACGGGACTTTAAGAGTAGCGTAATCACGAACCCCACAGACTGAAATTCTTGCGCCAGATTATGTGCCAGAGAATTAGATTCGTCACTCTTGTCAGGGGTGCAGAAAAAGCCCTCCTGATAGGGAGACACGAGAACGACATCTGGATCAGACTTAGTAATTGCGAATCCAACTATGGTACCAACAAAATGGAGGAGAGCAAGGCAATCAAATTAGAGATGTAGCAAGTGATATTAACCAAACTGGCTACAAGGTACACAGTCGAGAAAAAGTTGAGAAAAATGAAAGACGTAGCACTTACTAGCTAGACTTCCAAAGGGAATCAACTCTACTTCCGGGAGGATCCTTTGGCAGATTGCTCGACATTTTTTCAAATGCCGGTCTTAGGCGGCGAATTCCTGCGCAGTTGGTGTAGCGGCCGCAATAATCTCCCTTTCAAATGCCTGGAGATTGGTATTCTGATCATATATCGTCTGCTCTAAGCTGAGGGGAGTGATGCGGCCTTTCCCCGGATGTGGAGACACTTGCGGGTTTCGAAACGCTGGTTTCCACTGAGGGAGTGGACGGCTCCGCAATGGAAGCGGTTGGTGCTATGTCCTTTGTTGAGTTTGTCCCAATGTATTTTTCTGTGGCGATTTAGGTGGAGGAGGTTTGGGTAGGATGTTTTTGAGGGGCTCCGTTCCAAGGGGGGGAACTGATCGAGACTATCTGGGGGCAGAGGAGGAGGAGGGGGAGGGGGATGAAGGCCCGAATGCTGATCAGGGCTGTTGCGCTGAGGACGATGTGGGAATTGAGGCCTTCTGGCACCAGTCCACGGATATTCCCGTGGTTTGACCTGCCCACCCAGGGCCGATTGCTGTTGGTGGGGGCATTGGGGCGCGGGATACTGTTGCGTAGTAGGGCGCATATGTCGATGATCCCGAGGCGTTGAGATCGAGGAGTGGTTCGGAGGCTGGTTTTGCGGTAATGGCGAGACTGTTTGCTGTGATTGATCTCCGCGGGTAAAAGGTGGTCCGCGAGATGGCGACAAGTGCGTCCGCGGAAGCGGTGCCCCAAACTGCGAGCCCAGTGCTTGAGGACCTAGAAAGTTCAGCGATTGAAGTGAGTGGGGCATTTGAGATGGTGCGGGAAGAGCTATTGGGGGGAATTGGAGATGTCAACTAGATATGTGACGGGAAGGATGGATTGGTAAAAGCCGAGAATCAAACCCAAGGATTTCTAGTAGAAAAGAAATCCTGTAATCTTGCTTCTCGTAAAGCTGATTCTGAAGGTGAGGCGTAAGTGGCATTGGATTCCCTGGTGAGGGGTCCTGGCTGTTTTGACTATAGCCTGGCGAGTTACTAATGATCATTCCCCGACCTGTTCCTCTAAACTATTTTCTGGCACTAACCGAGGCTGTCTGGCAGGGGTGCTTGGGGTGTGCCCAGCAGGGGAGCGTTCGAGCTGTCCGCGTGCTGTGAGATTCCGTCTGGGGGGGAATCTTGGTGGTTGGGGTATTAAGGGTTTCTACAGAGTAAAAAAATGAAATTACCATAAACTCACGTCAGAGAATTTGTTGTTGTTGTTGTTGGAGAGGACGGTATAGGATGTTAGGAGCGGAATGTGGTTGAAAGGAGGTTGGGCTGTGGAAGGATAAAGTTTGAAGTCTGAGTTCTGGAATCCGAGTTGTCCCGAAGAAGGTTCATGGAGGAGGAGCTGGAGGTTTAATGGTGTGACATCACGTTGCCAGGAGCGTCCTTCAGTCAGCATCTTCTAAACCCCCCAGGTTTCAACCCACCAGGTTGCCGGCTGTTTATTTGCCCCACAAGGGACAAACATATATCTCACCACTCCAGCATTCAAATCCCGCTGTTTCCCACACACTATATCAATACCAGCTTTAATCTAACCACCGCGAATATCAATTTCATCCTCGGACCTTGTTTTCAGTAGCTGACGGCATCCGGTGTATCATACTAGTATCCTAGCAGGTGAACGAGGGTGACCCCAGGCGAGCGGTGCAAGCTAGCTGGAATGCCTTGAGCTTGTGGCAGAGTTGTTTTCAGGGCGGTATCCTTACACCCTCTCTGAGATATGTGGCACCCATGAACCCGACTAGCAACATGGGAAGAAGTGGCAAGGGTGAACAAGGGCATTGAGATGGACAAGCCGGCCCCCCCTATTCTTCCCTAAGGGTAGAAGAATACGGTATATTATTCAAAAGCCGAGCCACCAAGATTATGTTGCGGAGGTTAACTTGAGCACCCGTACAGGTTAGGGGATTGCGCTGTAGTTTGCCACAATCGATTTTACTGAATAACCTGCTTTGCCTCTCTTTGCTCTCGCTTGCTTCGACCACACGAAGGTTCTGTCATTAGCTAATTGCTGATTGAACGCTGTCAGAATTGGGTTGTTGCTAGTGGTACCGTAGCTTCAACCGTCCTTCCCCTAACTCCGTTTCCTGGCGCCGTAAATAGCGCTGGGAGCCCGGTGGTGGGGGGGTACGGTAATTTGGTTTGCGCCCCTAGCCACCCCTCACATTGCAAACCTTGGATGTAATCGAAGTCAATATGGGAAAAGTGATATATCAGAAGCGGATTAGCTTCCTCGATGGTTTCGTTTCTTTTTTATGCTGGGTGGCTAACCTATTCCTCGGTTTCTAGGGTATATTCCATTTATTAAACTTGATCATGCATCCTTCCCTTATAGCGGCGCTGGAGCACTCACATTAGACCCATAGAACTAGAGCATATATTGGAGCACTGTAATAATCCTAGTAAGACCCCTCTTGCCTGCGACGGGTGTGCCAAAGTGCTTACCTCCATATGGCCTAGAGGATTAGAAAATGGCTGAAGCCGACGGCGCGCTATCCTTCACTGTTGTCTGCCGCTGTGACTGACTAACTGCCCTTTTGGTAACACCGGTAATTCTAGCTTCTATTTCCTTTAATAAGTACGGCGTTCGATCCACTACGCCGCGTGGGCGGGCAGATAAACACCTTGTCGTCACCCAACCGGCATGAGCGGGGCCGAAGATGGATTCCGCTACTTTTGGGTACCCTTTCTATCGAGTTCTGGTGTAGTTTTCGAGCTCTGCCCAGGGCACTTCCAAATAGGTATCTTTCCAACCGCAGACTTTGTTGGATCACAGAGCTACATCAGCCGGGACTCTTTCACTGACAGGTTGCCGATGAAGTGCAGGAGTGAGGTTGGGCCCTGGGTTTAGTGGGCGAAAGCTATGATGGTGGGCCATGTAGAATCCGCACCCCGAGAGGAATCCGAGTGTCGAGGTTAAACTGTCCGGGCCTTCTTGCGGTGGACTGTGCTTGGGGTTGGCTGAATCTGGCGACGGTCTTGGGGAGTCGACGGTGGAGTTCCGGTTTGTGTTTCAATGGATGCGCCTGAGCCCGTGCTGCCTATGCCAGTGGTTTGTTTTCGTTTGGACTTTCTGCGGGATTAGTTATTGATGCGCTAGTTCAGGGTGGAGGGGTTGACGGGTTTTTTTGAATCCCTAGGACGGAGAACCATACGCCTTCCCGTCCGGAGGGGAGTGTAGGACGCCACGGGCTGGGGGGTTCCGTGAGTATACAGTAGCAGGAGTAAAGAATTGACAAAACAAACCTAATTGAGAAAGGCCAAAAGTTACATTGCTTTTCAAAATTGTTGAACCGCTTCATCTCGCAAGGGTGTTTCTCCCCCCCCTGAGGCGATGGCTGATTGAATTCCAAGAGAATACAATAATACTGATCCATATCCCAGCCATGCGGTTCATCCAAGACCTTTCTCTTTTTGTTAGGGTTTCTCCCACCGCCCACGCCTCTGGGTCGCTTTGCCGAGTGGTGGATCGGACTGCCGCCGCTATTTCCTGCTCCTGACGGAGCCGCGGGTCCGGGTGAGTGTTGGCCCGCACTGTTGATGCTGTTCTTTTGGTCGGAGTGGCACCCGCGACCACCGTGGCTGTACCAGTAGGATGAACCTGCAGCCGGCGATATTGCTGCATATCCATTTTGTAATGCAAAACCTTGCGATCACAGCGACGATATTGTTGACGGGTTTGGTCTGCCTGGCGAAGTGGACGCCGAACGTATGGACGCTGCACGAAACGGCCTGAATCTTTTTGCCGGCTGTTCACCGGATAGAGCGTCTGGGTTGGGCATCCAGGAGGCCATGTGGCTGGCTCCTGGTCGTTTCATTGCCAAAGAGGGAAATAGAGAAAGAGCACAGCCATGCACGAGTTCGGGAGTGTTGCTTGATTCCAGATAGCGGGCTACCCCAGTAACCATCTTCCAACCGCTACAATGTTGCAAAAAATGTGACAAAGGAAATCAAGCATGACCGGAGGCAGTAGAGTCGGCGTAGATTGTGGGAGAGACGCGCGGCGGTTCTCTCCTCTTCGCGGTGGGACGAACAAGTAGAAGGTGCAGGCGCTGCCTGTGAGATATTGTACTCTTCAAATTGGGTCCTTGTGGGAATATTGAGGGTTGATGCTCTAACGCATCACGAGAGCCTCCTGTTGGCAATAGCTGGACGTGGCCGAGCACATAGGTCTCGTAGTGAAATTGCGCATCCCGCGCTGCAATTAGTTTACCAACGCGACCAATGATATGGCTTCTGTTTTGCGTCGGGCCCCGGGATAGTGTATGCGTTACTGCAGGTGAGCCAGCTTGCTCGAGTAGTGGGCTTCGATAAGGACTCAAACGGTTGGCTACTTCGTACCCGAGACCATTAGAAGTCGAGTAGATTGGTTAGAGGAAATTAATCCCTAGTGTGATATGTATTATGCTATCACGATGGCGGGGTACTGGCTCCATTGGAAAGCAGCGGCGACTCTACCTATCATGGGTCTGCCGGGGCTTTTCAAAAAGAGGCACCCATTCATGGCTCGGAGACACCAGTAGTCGAGTATCTCCATTATTAATTTACTTAACATTGCCTTTCTTACTATAAAGGAGTTTCTAGAAAAAAACCAAAAACTACTCGGCGATTTTTAAAGTAATCGGAACGGGAAAAATAGAGTTACGCGGCCCAGGTATAAGTGAGAGTTCCGGCAGCAGTGCTTGGCTAACAATTACCGCTCTAGCTGACGCGCTTGGCTCCTTTACTTACGCAGGCATAATGGGGGTGGATAACTTACGTTCAGACCACCCCAAAAATCGGCGAGTATATCCAGAGTGTGAATTGAACACGGGATCTTTAGATAATACAACCTTCAAGGTACAGCCCTGATTTCTCCTTGGATTGAGTGTTACATGTTGCAGCGGCCCAGGTGCACCTTTTAAATGCATGGCACCATAACTTGCAGAGACCAATAACGTAACGAATTTGGGTATCGGGCAGGTGTTATGAGTATAATTGTGCATGAACTGTATTTCTAGCGCGTTTGGATCGGGCGGCTTGATTTCCCAAGCGTCTTTGGAGATAGAGTAAAGAATATGGAGCAAGCGTAGAAATTAAAACACAGACTTGGAAGCCTTAGTGAGTCACCAGTCCCCTGGACTGGGAAATGTGTAAGAAATTTGGTTTGATTAGAGACATCAGCCCTGTAACCTCCGTATCCATCACGCGACAAATCCGAAGTATGGGCGCCTGAGATCCATTGGGATCCCAGGCAAATAATCCGTATAACAGCCAACGGTTGATCCCTTGAGCAAGTCCGCAAACTCAGAAAAGAAAAGGTCATAAAATGTGTCACTAGCGAGATATGATTCAGTGCAAGGACCCTAAGGTGGGCGGTGAAAACATTGATGTTTTTTTCATGATCCGGACGAGTGAGGTTTGACAGCCGTTGATATTATTGACCACAACAGAGATGACGAGGCGGTGTTTTTCACCACCTGCGGATGAAATAGTTTTAGGGGATGGTAGTAAGGACAGGAACGTGAGACTAAAATTGTAAGTGTTTTGCAACTTAGGGAATTGGATTGAATGCTAAAATAGTATATGATATATCTTGAATGAGGGGAAGCAAAGAAAACAACCCGGGGGTGTTATTCACTGGGGCCGGTGTAACGAAAGGGTTGAGCTTGCGGTCCCACAAGAAACGGGCAGTCCCCATTGTCGGTGGAATGTTGGGACCGTTCGGGGTATGGTGCGGTGCGTCTAAAGTGTGGACCTGGGTAGATGCAACATGGGACGCTCAACCCTGTGAGGAATTAGGGTTATATCAGAAAATATGTAATTTCAGAAGGTCCTATGTTCAATTCCCTGTATTTTCTAGTTTTTG